CAAAGATCGGGGGGCTGTCACTTCTGCCCAGAGCCCACAGAAGCAGTACAGGGAACAATATATAACCACCAACCCCATTGCTATTGCATCACCACTGAGAGCCACCCAGCGCCAGGTGGCTCCTAGGGATTCCCACCCTCGGGTCAGGGGGTCTTGTTGCAAGGCTTAAGTGGCACACACCTCTGTGTCCATCTCTTGTAAGGCCTCTTGTACTTGTTCCTGTTGGTTAGGAATAAAAACACAGCATTCTACATGTAAGTTCCTCCCTGTGCTGCAGTCAACAAATCCAGAGCCGTAAGGTTCTGTAACACCACCTTTCTCATCTGGGATATTTCATCCATGAGCAACATCAGAGACTGGTGTGTGATACTTAGGGTCTGTGCCATGTGTTGGGCTAGAGCTTCACTTGGAGGGCTAGGTCTATAGTCCCTGCCCCTGGCAGTCATAGGATAAAACCACCAGGCCACCCCTTTGAAGTGGTGCCATTGGTGATATATAGTGTCCTAATTGTGGGGTGTGTCTGTCAGGGTGGGACCAATAGTGCCCTTAATAGTGCCTGGGAAACCCCCAGATGCAGCACCCTGTCCAGTGTGTGGGGAGGTACAGCCAAACCATAGTCCCACAGCCCCATAAGGCATCTGCCATGGGCCAATCAGTGGGCACTGTACCTATGAGCAGCACAGGCTTTCGTGTGGGGAGGACCAAAGTCCCTTTATCACCTTAGTACCTTGCTCTTCCAGTTGAATGCTCGGATGAGTCAGCTGTGCTTTCAGAAGGCAATCCAATGGGCTGTCACATGTATGCTAGGGCTGGTCATCGAGCAATTGAACAGTCTGTGGTAAGGCCTGTACCCACCCAATAAACTTTGGAGCCAAATAGGCCATCTTAGTTTTCAAGAGCCCATTATATCTCTCAATCATACCAGCAGCTTACGGCTGGTAGGGCACATAAAAGTGCCAGGTAATGTCATTGTCTCTGGCCCACTGTTGTATCTGAGCCCCTGTAAAATGGCTTCCCCAGTCAGACACTATTCCTAGCAGCTCCACATGGCCTGTAAGGTTGCTAAGAATGTTTTGTCTTAGCTAAGCTGATAAAGAGCTATTATAAGTTATCTGCTGGAAATTAAAGTTTGGTTCCTGCTTTGTAACAGGCTCCATGCCTGTTCTTTTCTTTGGGAACCTTGCCTGACCTGGCCTCCCTTCAGCCCACCAGTCCCAACACTTCTGATATCGGGCAACAAATAATCCAAAAATGATATAGGGCAGCAAGTAATCCAAATAAGCAAAAGTAATCCAAACAAGGGAAATATTATAACTCTCAACCTGTTCGTGTTTTCTAAAACTGAAGAATGAATTTTAGGAACAATGAAGGTTAAGAGTAAGAAAAATTTATTGAGAGAAAGATAGCTTCTGTCTAAGAGAGACAGAAGACTGGAGAGGAACTGGAAAGTGGGTTGCCAGCCCATCCTGGTTTTCAAAGGCATTTTATAGGGCAAAGCCATGAGGTGAGGTGGGTACAAAGTGGGATAAAATTATAAGACCCAATGGAAAATCACAAGGTGGGCATGAGGTGGAACAAAACTATGATCAACCAATAAGATTACAAGTAGAGTCCCCCAGATAATTTTGATTAAATGGGGATTAAATTGGAAAACAAGTCATGCAGCAAGCATACAAGGAATTTCTGGAAAAGAAATGGGGTAGGGAGATTGATGCCTATTTAGAATATCAATCACTGCTATTTATCCCCAGAGAAAGTAGGTGGATGCAGTACCTTTTCTCTTTTTGTAATGCTAACCAGTGAATAAGTCTCCATTGTTTTCTATTCTGAGGGCCCAGCTTTGTCTAACAGCCTTATAATAATTTCTAACTAACCTAGCTATCTGCAATACTTCTAGGGCAATGTTGGGAGTTTCTTAGCTCCTCTAGTTTTAAATAATCACAAAAATTTCAAGGGGAGCCAGGTGTGGTGGCACACGCCTATAATCCCAGCACTAGGGAAGCTGAACCAGGAGGATTGCTGTGAGTTCAAGGCCAGTTTGGGCTACATAGTGAGGTCAAAGCCAGTTTGAACTACATAGTGAGGCCTTGTCTCAATAAAATAAAATCAAGGGGAAAAAAGAGGGAGAAGCAATAAATTTAAAAGAGATGTAAAAGACATATCAGCCATTTGCAATATGTGGCTTTTATTTGCTTCTTAATTACTATAGTTGAAAAAACCCTGAATATTGGATGTGTGATGATAGTGAGGGGTTACTGCTATTTAAAATATGATAATGAGTCACCTGGGATTTAGTTCAGTGATGCTTCGCCTGCCTTGCAAGCACAAGGACCTGAGTGTGATCCCAGGTACTGGAAAAAAAAAAAAGATATGGTAATGATATTGTAGTTATATTTTAGAGGCAACTAATGAGACATTTACTGATGAAATAATATGATATCTGGAATTGGTTTCAAGTCATCAGTGAAGGGTGGCAGGGAGCTGAGGTAGAACAAAGGTGCTAGGCTTGACTGTCGTCCCTGCTCTCCAGTGATGGGGCCTTTTTTATTTTCTCAATTCTGTATGTGTCTGAAATTTTGCAATTTATTTATTTATTTTTTTGAGATAAGGTCTCACTTTGTCATTCAGGCCAGCCTTGAACTATGTAGCCCAGGCTGGCCTCAAACTCATAGCAATCTTCCTGCCTCAGCCTCCTGAGTGCTGGGATTATGGGTGTGTGCCAGCATACCAGGCTGAAATTTTGCAAATTTAAAGTTATAAAAAATGTTGAACATTATCAGAGGCTGATCAATCTTTCATTCTGCCTAGAAAGCAAGGGCTAAAGAAGGTCAATAGGCATGTGTAATATCATAATACACGGGGGGGGGGGGGGCTAGGAGGTAAGTGCCTCAGAGTGGGCAAAGACAAAGACACTCTGAGCTAGTCATTATTTATTGGGTGCACACAATAATCAGAGGGAGTATCAGGTGATTTAGAGGCGGGGTAACCCTATGTTGATGAGGATCTTAGGTTGATGAGGATTTTAGGTCACTCATGAGGAGATGAGCACAGTATTCCTGCAATAGTAGGTGAGACGAGATAGCAGGCTAATGAGGAATTCATCCTTCCCCAGGTGAAACTTTTCTTTTTTAATTATTATTCAATTCTCAATGAACCAAGACGTCTTCAGCTGATGTAATTTTGCCCTTGAGCATCACAGTATCCCAGGACCATTTGGGCCTCAACTTGTGACTGGAGGCAAAGAGAGTTGTTTCTGCATGTCATAGCCAGCTCTCCAGGAAAGAAGAGTAGGCCTTAGACAGCCCTAATCATAATTTAATTATGAAATGATTTTTCCCCAAAAATCATATACAATGGTTCTCTTCAAAAGGATACAATGAGAAAGTTATTCCCTTTTCAACACTTCTTTAACATGTCTGACTAGAGTATGAGGGAAATCTCTAATCTTTTTTGTAAAGTGAAGCTGAGAGCCTTTAACTGTAAATTCATAAAAAAGTTTGTTCTTCAAGTGGGCCTTTGGCCCATCTGCACTCAGATAGCAATAAACTCATCACATGTTGCATAGACTTTGCCTCGGTGGTCTCAATAGAGCCTTGGTCTGACCTTACAATTACCACCTGTACAAATCCTATGTAAACATTTTCAGCTGGGTAAACCCTTAAGAAGCCTGCAAAAGTGTTGGTGAAGACCAAACCTACTTCTCTCAAATAGTACCTTTCTGTGTAGGTGAAAGATTTCACTCTCAAGAGTATCCGTTAACAAGTTGAAGATACTCTGTCATAACGGTCACCCCTTTGAAGATTTGTCCTCTTGCATATCAGAGCCAAGTACACAGTAGATGCATAATCAAAGTATATTGAATCAGCTGGGCGTGGTGGCCCATGCCTGTAATCTCAGCACTAGGGAGACTGAGGCAGGAGGATCACCTCAAGTTTTAGGCCATCCTGGGCTACACAGTGTGTTCAAGGCCAACCTGAACTACATAGCAAGACCCTGCCTCAAAACACCAAAACCAAAAAAAAAAAAAAAAAAAAGTTGAATTAATATCGTGCATCTTTTGTATTCCAGAGTATCTTCTATGGTGTGCTTACCCAATTGACAAAATCTAGATTATTTCTATAAAAACTAAATTGGTCATCCCTAAGTCACAAGAGCTTTCCTCTACACCACTTTTTACCCACTTCTTTTTGCCGTCTCTCAAAACATGTATTATTTAAGAACACAACACAAATATCCTTCCCATTAAAATTTGCTCCTACCGCATGGGATTGGTATTAATCTATGTCTGTCTCATCTGGGCTCCTAGAAGTTGGCTTTTTCTTTTTTGTTGTTTTTTGGTACTGGGGATCGAACTCGGGACCTTGTGCTTGAGAGGTAGGCAGCGGAACCACTGAGCTAAATCCCCAGCCCCGAAGTCGGCTTTTTCACCCAAACCAAATGGTTATTCAAGTCAAGGTAGTTATAATGAAAATGTTGGTTTATATATATATAGTTTGGGCAATCCTTTGGCCCAGGATGATTTGTAGAGTACATTGCTTTTCTTAAATATTAAAAATCTTTCAATTCCTTAATAAATTCAAAACAAATCTGTGTGCAGCATGAGAGCTTTTTTTCCTTTTAGGCTGATGAGCCTTGCTTGTGAACGGCTGGAGGCGCGCCAGGGGCGTTTTGAACTCCTTCGGCTACCGTCGTTACGTCTTCTCCCTGCGTCTGCGCACTGCTCAAACACAGCTCTTTTTTCCGTCAGTAGGGAAGGACGCTGGTGTTGAGGTGAGTCGATGTCGCGTTTGTTCTCCACATTGAAATTCTCCCAACTGCCACCTTTTGCACTTTGACTGCTTCTGCGGTCGTGACTCCGCATCCTAGCAGCGGTGGAGCCCCGGACGTCTCTCTTGCGTCGCCCCCCGCACGCCCTTGTCGCAGCCTCAGGAGGGCGGGCTGAGGCGGCTTCGGTGACCCGGGGTGGGGGTTGGGGCGGGTCGTGGAGGAGGCAGCAGGCTCGTGAGGCGGCCGGCCCGGCCGGTTCCCCCTACGCCTTTTCCCTTGTCGATGTGACCTTGGCTAGTTGGCTAGGTCGTTTGGCCCACCCGGCCTTAGGGCTTCACTGGTTTCTTCCTCACCCAGTCGTGAGGCGTGGGGGGTCGGCGTGGGCGAAGCTCCGTGGACACCAGCGCTCGGTGGGTGTTAGCCGAAGGGCTCGGTTTGCGACGAGAGCCGGGCAGCCGGAGGACGTCGCCGGCCGGTCTCGGCGCAGCCTTCCTGCTCGCCGCGGGTCCCAGAGGAGGCCGCAGGGTGGGGAGCTGGAGGCCCGAGCAGCTGCTGGGTTCCCTTCTGCGTTTGAATGTTTGCCCCGTGACCGTGGCAGACAACGTTCCTCCGCTTCTCAGGGGTTGTCCCGAAAAAGCTTTTAAGGGTAAATGCTATACGTGCATTTGCGTCTGTAACTGTAGTTGCGAGGGATTTGTGTTTGTGGTTTTTGGTGATAGATTCGTTACTGGTTATGCCAGTTTCCTTGTTTATTTGGGAGTAGTTCAGCGTATTGGGGGGAGCTACAGGATAAGCCACTCAGCACCTTAGCTTTGTGGGAGTCAGTCCACTGTTACCCTGCATCTTGCTGGGGAGTTGTTTAGATCTCTTACTTTGTTCTAAGGTGTTTTGTTTTTCCTTGTTTTACCTGTGAAGGACAGTAAACATGAGTTCCAGTGCTTTGACGAAACCGCAGATGCGAGGTCTTCTGGCCAGGCGTCTGCGGATCCATATGGTTGGAGCATTCATTGTCTCCCTGGGAGTTGCAACTCTCTATAAGGTACATGTGTTTGTTTTTTTGTTTTAAGATCATGAAGTGTGTTTTCAGTTTTAACATATATTTTATTTTGTTTGATTGTGGTTTTTTGAGATAGGGTTTTGCTATGTAGATCAGGTCTTGAACTTGTAATCCTCCTGCCTCAGCCTCCCAAGTTCGGGAATTACGGGTATGAGCAACTGTGCCCAGCTTTTTTTTTTTTTTTAAATAAAGAAAAGGTAGAATTTGAGCCTTGAAAGTTAGCAAGAACTTGGTGTTTTGGTTTATCTAGATGTCTTCTTATAGCCCTTTGAAATAGGTGGCCTCTGGTTGAGGAAATGTGTGGGGGGTTGTGGCCTGAAAGGGTTTATCTCCCTCCCTGGCACCTCCCTTGATCTCTGCTTTCCTGCCTCCTTGTGAGCTGCTTCTCCACCATGCCATTCTGCCTTGGAGCCAGCCAACTGTGGACTGAAACCTCTACAAATGTTTAGTCACTTTCTTTTTTTTTGAGACAGGGTCTCACTGTGTAGTTCAGGCTGCCCTTGAACTCATTATGTACCTCAGGCTAGCCTTGACTCTGTGGCGATCCTCCTGCCTCAGCCTGCCAAGTGCTGGGGTTACAGGCATGTGCCACCACCCCCAGCTACTTAGTCACTTTCATTGCTGGAACAAAATACTCAACACCTACAGCTTAAAGGAGGAAAGGTTTACTTTGGCTCATGGCTTTTAGACGTTTCAGTTCATAATCCACTGTCTCAAGGCAGAAAAGGCATGGTGAAAGGGTCTGGGCCGAGGACAGCTACTAATTCTCTGGCAGCCAGGAAGAAGGAAGGGTGAAGAGAGGAGGCAGGGACAAGAATATACCCTTCCAAATCACCTCCAGCAACCCACCTCCTAATAGCTTCTTTAGCTACTGAACTCATTCTCACCTTCCACAGGCCGCACCTGAACACAGGCTTTAGGGGATACTGAAGTTGTAAACCAAAACAGAACAAAGAGGAAGGGGGAACAGTAAACAAAAGCACTAAGTGGGCCGATGCTTTGGGACGAACACAAAAAATAACCCCTTTACTTGTCAGGCAGGGGTATGAAATAAATGTTTATTGAAGAAAGGTTGAGTATATGGGAAAGTATGGGGAATTCTTTCCTTGTCTCTGATGTCACTGTTATGAAATTTCAGGCCTTTATAACTTGTATGAATTCTTGCTCCTTTAACTGGGAGCCACCAGAATAGGTGTGTTTATGTCATTGGGTTACCCATTCTTTAGTGTGTAGTGGTTTTGAAACTTTTCACTTACAGCAAATATATGTTTGCATTGGTTTTTTTGTTTTGTTTTGTTTTCTTTTGAGACAGGATCTCCCCATATAGTTCAGGCTGGTCTTGAACTCCACAGTGATCCATCCTCCTGCCTCAGCCTCCTACGTGCTGCATTTACAGGCCATATGCCACCATGCCTGGCTTATATTGCATTGTGATTCAGTTAACAAACTTACGCATATGTGTCAGAGTTTATAGGTGTATCTGTGCATAAAACTGAAATAGTTTGTCACAACCTGTTAATATTTTCTATTCTGTTTTTTTTGAAGTGCTGGCTTCAGACTTCTAAGTTGGTTTCATGTCCCACTGATGAGTTGTTGATGACTTGAAACACATTTATCCAAAGGCTAAGGCTAAAACTTGCCCTTGATTCTAAGACTCTTTTCTGATGTGTTCTTCCCCTTCCCATTGTGACCCCAGCACTTGTAATACATCCAACTTGGCAGTCCTTCACCGCTACAGTATTTGCTGTTATCCACCTCTGCTTTTTCCCATGCTTATGAACATGCCAGGAATATCTTGTACTTCATTGTCAGGCAAATTTGTCTTTCAAGGCCTGTTCAAATGTTCTTTGGAGCAGTTGGTTCTTCTCTTCTGGGTTCTCAGGCATTTTGTACCAGGCTGCTTTATAGCATTGGGCACGTTGGATTTTCTATTAAATTGTATTTCCTCTTTTTATATTCAGAGCTGGATCCATGGCAGACTGTCCATTGTGATGAAAAATAAAAAAATGTTTGGTAATGGAACAAAGTATTCGAGCCTAGTTAGCTTTTTAGTGTTTGATTAGAAGGAAGTTTCCCAGAACATTAAGGAATGAATCCAGATTCTTAATAATTCAGTAGTCAGCTTTTGGCTGTCTTAGTAGATGTTCATCTCCTTTGTCTTCCCTACCTAGTATTTAGTGCTCCTTAAATTCCAAATTTTGGCCTATTTTCAGTTTTAGTCAACTTCTGTGTTCTTTACATGAAGGTAAGAATCTGGTATAAATCATTCTTGGTTAAGTTTGTACCAAGCTTACATTCATGAATATGAGTTAGGTTTAAGAGGCAGAAGAATGGCATTTATATCAAATATGGACTTTCCCATATTTTAGTTTAACTGATTACTGTCATAAATTAGGCTTGTTTTAAATCTTCAGGTATAGGCTCATCATATAAAATGTTGAGTCTGGGCTATACTATAATTGCTACTCATAACTTGGAGGCTCTAAATAGATAATTTATGTCTTTATCCTTTCGTCTATTTTTTTTTTTTTTTTTTGGGTACCGGGGATCAAACTTGGGTCCTTGCACTTGCAAGGCAGGCAGCAGAACCACTGAGCTAAATCCCTGGGCCCCAATAATTTATGTCTTTTTTCTTCCCTGAAGTCTCTATTTTCCAGACTTAAAAAAACCACTCTCATTTTAAAGTGTAATAGACAAAATTTAGATAAGGTTATAAAATTAATTTGCTTTCATTTCTTAGGGTTGCTAACAACAACTTGCTATTTTTTGCCTTGGTGTTCCATAATTGTTTAAATGAAATATTTTTCTTGTTCTAACAAAGTGTTCATCATTGCATAGTATTTGTGTGTATGTACATTCATGTTTATGGAGAGCTTAGAAGTTGTATATATTCCATCTATATACTGGAGAACGAAGCAGCTGTTGAGGTCATGTAGTCTGTCTGAAGGTCTGAGACCCAGGTAGTATAGCTCCCAATATGAGTGCAAAGACCTGGGAGAAAGAGACGCTGCTGGTCTAAGTTTCAGAGTTGGAAGACAGGAGCTCCAGAGGACAGAAGGTGATGTGTATCCCAGCTTAGGAGAGAGTTTACTCCACCACTGTCTTTGTTCTATTCAGGCCCTCCTGTTCACATTGGTGAGGTTGGATCTTTAGTCCAATTTCTCCCCAAAACACCCTCACAGACAAATCTGGAAATAATGTATTACCAGCTGTCTGTGCATCACTTAACCTGTCACATTGATACATAAGGTTAACCACCAAAGGCTAGCCTGAACTACGTAGTGAGACCCTGCCTCAAGAAAACTTACTAAAAAAGAAAATCACAGGTATTGATAGGCCTCAGCCCACTTCAGTTTGGAGACTAGCGTTGAGGCTTTTTCCTTTTGGCCTATTACAAGAAGAAATTGGGAATTTGAATAGGAAGTAAAGCAGTAAAACTCATCTGGTAGAAGGCTCTTACCTGCATTATTTCATCAAATAATGTGATTCTGTGAATTTCTGTAACACCTTCACTAATATGGATTGGCACTTGAATTTTTACTGTTTTTTATATGTATCTTGAGATTTAAGGTTGTATTATTACTCACTCATTAAACCCATTAAGCAGTGATTAGTGCAGAATCAAACCTTTGCCATGTGACAAGAGATGGGTTTGAATTCTGCTCCAGCCACCTACCAGCTAGTGCTTCCTAGACTTTGATCAAGTTAAATTCCACATTTCTCTTTCATTCTTGGAATCTTCATTTGTTCTCTGTTGATCCCTCCTCTTTATACACAGAAACTGCAAAAACAAGTAAAATCCCAACAAAATGACCACTGCCCCCCCCCCCCCCCCCGCCATGTTGCAATGTTAGCTATTTGAAGGCCTGCTTTCTCAAAGTAGTCATTATCTCAGGTCCATTTCCTCATATTTGTAAAAAGGATCAGTGCCTCCTTTTAGATATTATATGAATCACCTCAAATTATTCTTGTCAGATAGTAAGTTTCCCGTGCCTTCCAGAGAGATGCAGTTACCAAGTCAGACTCAGACTTGTAAAACTTGGCTTAAATTGAAGCAGAATATTTTTGCATTTCTCAGTTGTAGAAATATTTAGGCTTTACTTGGAGGGAAGGCTGTTTGTCAAACACCTTTTAATTTTGGAGGTATCATCCTCTGGCTCTTGCCAGTCTCTGTACTTCTCTCCCATCAAACACATACAAGCCATAGGGGCCGGGGATTTAGCTCAGTGGTTCCAGTGCCTGCCTTGCAAGCACAAGGTCCTGAGTTCAATCCCCAGTACCCAAACACATACAAGCCATATACATACAATCCACCCTGTGAAAGGCACAGTCTGTCCCTAGGCAAGAAGGGCTGCCATGCCGTGTAGTTTCCATGAAACTAATTTTTCTTCGTTGCACCTATTCACTTACTCCACTTTTTGTTGTAGGGTTCAAATTAAAGGACGAACAACCACAAGTATATTGTAATTTATATTGTCTTTAGATACTAAATTTCTAACCTGAAAAATACACAATAATAGTATGTGTTACATTTTAGTTTGGTGTGGCTGAACCAAGAAAGAAGGCGTATGCAGATTTCTACAGAAATTATGATTCCATGAAAGATTTTGAAGAAATGAGGAAGGCTGGTATCTTTCAGAGTGCAAAGTGATATAGGAATAAAAAGGTAATATGGTTATTTGAAATTACTTTTAAAACAGTTTCTAGCTATGTTAAAATGTAAAATATATTGTTTTAACCATTTTTAACTGTACAGTTTTGTGGTATTAACTACTGTACATTCATACTAGTGTGTAACCATCCAGTCTTCAGAACTCTTCAGGTTACAGAACTGATACTGTATATACCTATTAAACAACACTTCCCATTCTCTTCTTGCCCCAGACCTTGGCAACCAGTGTTTTACTTTCTGTGATTGGCTTCTTTTACTTAGTATAATGTTCTTGAGGTTCACCCATGTTGTATATGTCAGAATTTCCCAACTTTTTTTTTTTTTGCTCTACCAGGGATCAAACTCAGGACCTTGCACTTCCTAATTTCCCAACTTTTTAATACTGAATAATATTGTTTATATATACTACAGTTTATCTATGAACATAGGTATACAAATAAATGTCTCTTCATGGCCCTGCTTTCAGTTCTTCTAGGTGTGTATTCAGAAACCAAATTGCTGAAGCATAGGGTAGTTCTATTTTTAATTTTTTAAGAAATTTACATACTGTTATTTATCATAGCTACGTCATTTTACACTCCCAGCAGTACACAAGGAAGGGTTCCAGTTTCTCTGTATGGTCATATATACTACTGTTTTTTTTCCTTTAATAGTAGTCATTCTAATGGGTGAGATCTCTTAGTGCTTTGGGTTGTATTTCTCTAATGATTTTTAATTGAACATCATTTCATGTGTTTATTGGCCATTTCTATATCCTGTTGATTGCTTTTCAGCTTTGTTTCCATTTTTTTCCTTCCATTCTGTTTTCCTTTTCACTTCTTTCCTTTTCCCCTCCCGTAAGTAACTAATCTTAGTTACTTTTCTCTTGTTGCTGAGACAAAATACCTGACACCCAAAGTTAAATGGGGAAAGGTTTAGTTAGCTCAGTTTGTAGAGATTTCTGTCCATAAAGACTGGCTCCAAGATAAGGTGGCGTGGCAGACAGGCAGAAGGTAGCAAAAGCAACAAGGACCTAAACAGCATCTATCCAGGCTACTTAGGGTGGGTAGCGCTCACACCCTTAATCCTAGTTCCCTTACACACAATGAATAATTCCAGCATCACACACTCTGGATCCAGCCACCTCTAAAAATCCTCACCTATGACCACAAAAGGCTTTCAGGGGACATCTAAACAAGCCTCACACAAGAGAAACAGTATATTTAAATGTAAGTGTCTGATTTATTTCTTGGAAATATATCTTGTAGTATAGGTGTGCTAGTAATGATATCTCTCTTTCAACTTGAGACTATTTTTTTTGAGTCAGGGTCTTGCTATGTAGTTCAAGCTGGTATCAATCCTCCTGCCTCAGTCTTGAGTGTTGGGATTACAGGCATGTGCCACCACACCCAGCTCTTACTTATTTTTGAAGGGTAGCTTTTCCATATATAATATTTTTAGTTAACAGATATTTTTTTCCCACCACTTTAAATGTATCCCACAATCTTCTGGCCTGAAAGATTTCTACAGAGGCTCCCTCCTTCACAATGAGTCACTTTTTTCTTGCTGCTTTCAAGATTGTCTTTGCCTAATGTACTTGGAGTTTGTTGAGCTAGCTATATTTCCATTCTGTTTCTTCATATTTGTGAAGTTTTCAGCCATTATTTCTTCAAATAAGCTTTCTGTCCTTTTCTGAGATTTCTGTATTACATATGTTGGCCTCCTAAATGGTGTTATACAAGTCCTTTAGGCTCTGTTTGCATTGTTTGTTCTTTGTGCTCTTCAGACCGATATGTGCCAGTGATCCATCTTCAAGTTTGCTGATTGGTTTCTTCTGCCAGTTTGAGTCTGCTTTTGAGACACCTCCCCAAATGAGTATTTTTGTTTATATTACTGTATTTTTCAATTTTGGAATTGGTTTGGTTCTTTTAATAATTTGTCTCCAATAAAATTAATTTTAAAATGATTTATCTGTTATTTTCATTTTTTCCCCTGATTTTGCTTAGTTGTCCTCTTTTAGCTCATTGGGCATATTTAGGAGAACTTTAAGGGGTTTTTTTTTGAGACAAGGTCTCGCTGTTTGTTCAGGCTGGCCTTGAACTTACTATGGAGCCCAGGCTGGCCTTGAACTTGGAGCAGTCCTCCTGCCTCAGCTGCCTGAGTGCTGGGATTATAGGCATTGGCACCATGCCTGTGGATAGTTTTAAGTTTTTGTCAAATCAGAGGCCAGTGTGTTTTTTGGTTTTTTTACATTTTATTTGTGGAGATTTGTTTCTTGGAAGCAAAGCCTTGTTTCTTTGTATCCCTCATATCAGTCTGTTAATGTGGGCCTTTGAAAAAATAACCACCTCTCTCTATGTAGACTCGCTGTGTGCATGGGAAGACCTTCATTAGCCTGGCACAAAGGCTCAGGGTTCTCTCTTTGTAAGCCTGTATCTTCCCTGGGACTGTACATATGCTTTTGTTCCACTTTCCCTATATATACACACAGTTGCTCGTAAGCCTTCCTTAACTTTCCTAAGAGTTTCCTCCTCCTGTGCACCCCCCCCCCACCTTGGCAGCTCTCATGCTGTGGCATCACCCTTTGCTTTCTTCTGTTTCCAACCCAGTATTCAAACTGTCCACTGTTCCTATTAGTGCTCCAAGTCAGCAAGACAGAAACCAGTGCCTAGAGCAGCTCCCAGGTGAGCCAGTGTGTTGTAAGCCAGCTCTACTCTTCTATCCTGAGCGAGGGGCCAAGAGTTGGGTTGTTTCATCTTGATTGCTCTGTACTGCAGTGGAGTAGGACAGGTAGGAGCAAAAATGCCCTGAAACAGTGATGACAAACTTTTTAAGCCTTCAGTGATACAGACCGACCTTTGTGGCACGTGTGCTATAGGTTTGTCATCACTGCCCCAAAATTTACCTTTCGGCTAAGTGTTCAATTGTTTGCTGCAGTTTAACTGGTTTCTTCATTTCTCACAAAACTACTTTGGTCCACATACTGTTTATTCATTATTTCCAGGAGGAATGTGGGGGGACGGGTCTGAAGCTTTGTAGTCCACTGTCTATTGCTTACATTTTTTAAAAGTTACTATTTATGTTCAAAATCATTTCAGTTTTACTATTGCTAGATTGGCAACATGAAAAAAATCATTTTCCTAGAAGTGACTTTTAAAAAAAACAGAACAGTTTTTTAGGTTCCTTTTACGGTTTCTTAAGATGGTTGTCTGTGATTGACTTCCTAGCTTTTTTCATACATCCTGGCTTAGACGATCATCCACGAGGTCCTTGTCTCAGGACAGTTTGTATGATTTAAGGTTCTTCATCTAGAAAAGGGCTGACTGGTGTCCTAATGAAGGTCATCCACTGAATTGTTTGAAATGATATATCAAGTGCCTAAAGGGACTGTTCATATTTTGGAGTCTTAGGCATGTATTTAACTTAAGCTGAACAAAAAAAACAAGAAGGAGACACTAAATGGTTATAGAGCATCTACCATTTTGGTCTGACATGGTGAATGTGAACCTACTGTTTAGGCAGATTATTCCCGAATAAGCATGTCAGGTGCACTGAAAAAAACTGTATGTGTGTATATATCTTCCAAGATCTGCAGCAGGAAAAAAACCTGTTGTACTGGACTTAGATCAGTTTTCTAAATAACTCAAAGGTAATTTAGACTATGAGGCACTTTTGACTAATAGATTTGATTCTACAGCGTTCTATGTTTCGTCAGTCTTCAGGAAATATTTGAAATGTAGATAGATGTGTGTGCTCAAGTATTCACATTCAGGTATTTTACAATTCTAGTAGAGAAATAGAACTTTATTTTTCAATGGTTAGAAATTGCTTTTCATGCCATAGGCTCTTGTGTCCATTATCAATGATAGTCATAAGATGACAAAGAAATTATAGGAAATAAAGAATGTCTTATACAGAATGACCTGTTAATTTCACGGATAAAGACCAAAGGAAAGATGATTTAAGGAAACACTAATAGTTGTATTTATAATGCATAACATTGCTGTTTTAACTTTGAGGTTAAGGACATTGTATAGATATGAGAGAGAATGGGGTGAATTAGACTCGAGAAAGAAAAGAGCTGAATTTGTTAAAGCAAAAAACAAGAGCATGGTGTGGTATGCTCAAAATGGAAGACTTCAGTGAGAGTGGTTGGGCAGTTTGGAGGAAGGTGAACCTAGAGCCCAGGTAACCTGAACTGGATTTCGGGGGGCAGGAGTGATCGGAACATGGAGTCCACTGAATAAATAGGCATCAGTTGATCTCAGAGATGGTCAGTTCTGAGAATGTTTATCATTAACTTAGTCATTGTCTTTCTTTCCATAGGTTACTTTGGATAGAGTTCCATAGACACTTGTCACTGATAAGTGTTCCTGAACTGTGAAACATCAAAATATCGACTAAAGAATAGTTCTCATGACAAATAAACACCAGTGTGGACAGTAAATCTTTGCTCAGTTATTCTTACCGGTAATTTAGATCACTTAAAACTAGAGATTTTAACTTTGTGAACTTTATGGTGGTAACAAAGTATTTCATTTTTTTAACACATCTTTAATTGTATTGATAACTGAGGTACTCCTAAGTCATGGCTTTGAAGGGATCTCGAGGAGTCTGTAAGGAGGGACAGACAGTCCTTCCAATCAGTTCTGTACTTGGGCTTCGTTGCCATTATTTGGTAGCCCTGCTACCATTAGATAGATAAAAATCAAAATGAATTACTGAGAAATTCTTAAAATTGATTAAAGAACTACTATATATATAGGGAGTGATCAAAATATACAGCAAATATAACTTTTTTGTTTCATTTTTTAAAGAAGGATCTAGGTATGTAGTTCAGCCTGGCCTTGAACTCCTGGTGATTCTCCTGAGTGCTGGGATTACAGGTGTGCACCACCACGCCTAGCTGTGAATATATTTGTTATAATAAAAAACACACTGCCATTAATTAACCCCCTTCAGAATTCTCCCCTTTGCTTCGAACACACTTATCCCTTTATTCTTGCCACTTGTGGAAAGGCAGGCTCATAAAAATCTTAGGCCATGTCCTCACCACTTTATTCATTGGATTTGGCACCATGTGGCTTCTGACTCTGTCCCAAAGTCAAAATGACCATGAAAGATAACCACTTTGAATTGATGCAGGACATCTAAGCAGCCATGACAGTGTAACTAAAGATACTCATGAAAGAGTACTGCCAGAACTGGTTCAGAAAGTGGCAAGAATGATGGATAAGTATGTTCAAAGTGAATGGTAGTATTTTGAAGGGGGTTAATGGCAATGTGTCTTTTATTATAATTTATATATGTTTTTGAGGGGTACTGGGATCAAACTCGGGACCGTGCGGTTGTTGAGGCAGGCGCTGGAACCACTGAGCTAGATCCCCGGCCCAATTTATTTTTAAAAAAAGTTTAACATTCACTGTAGTTTTTGATCATGCCTCGTGTAGAATTGGAATGTATCCAGAAAAACAGTCATTTTACTTGACTTGAGTAATGTCTGGTAATGATTAAACAGTGTGGTAACCTTTTCAGAGGTTTCAGCTGTTCTTTAATTGCTGTGATTAAAGTGATACCACAGAGCTTTAAAGTTACATTTATCCAAAGCTAGTTTAATCATGGATTGTTACTTTCAGATAAGTTATTTCTTGTGCAGGATTCTTGAATCCCATGATATGAGTTGGGTAAAAACTTGTAACAATATACACTCATGTATGGTCAGTAATTCAAGAAAACCTTGGTTTTTTTGGTACTGGGGATCGAACTCAGGACCTTGTGCTTGCAGGGGAGGCACTGTGCCACTGAGCTAAATCCTCAGCCCCTCAGGAAAACCTTTTGTGCTGAGCATGCAGTGTGGTGGTAGAACACTTGCCCAGTGTTTGGGAGGCCCTAAGTTTGCTCTAGCACTGTGACCACCGCTCCCCCCTGCCCCGGCAAAAAAAACCCCCAGTTTTCTTTTAAACAATTTTTTATAACTATGCAAAATTACCATAAAACATACAACAATTAGTATATATTTACATTCTTAAAAATAATTTCTCTTGAAGTTGACAAACTCCCTCTCCTGAAATGAGTATTACATAAACAAGCCTTCCTTCATATTCAGCCTGAATTCTCCATTAGCAGTCTTCCTTTCCAGGAACAGTGATAGAGTGAAGACTTCTCACCATCCTATGAGACTAATAGATCAGTGACCCTTTGAAATTGTATTTTCTTAGATTTCACAATTTTAAGTAACAAGTTACAGGACCAAGTTTGAAACCACATAATCAGTAGATATGCTTCACTTAAATGGACCATGAGATATGTACTGAACATTTTAAGGTATGTGCTGACCTCAAATTCTTGAGTCAGACCCATTCTTGGGTGTAAAATAATGTGAAGACAGTGGGAATGTGTTCATACTTCAGTTCAGCAGAGAACACTTATCTGGACTGATGTCATTAGTAGCATTAATATTAGGGATCTTGACTCCCCTCTCAGTACCAGGGAGTTCCTAGCAATTATCTCACCTGAACACTTTGGGTCTGTTTTTATTGGTAGATATCAAAGGATCTTCTTTAGAAAAACTAGAAAAGACGCTTTCCAAAATGCACCTAAACAGACATGAAGTATTTGAAAAGTTCAATACAGAACAGAGACTTTGGAGGGAATATACATAGCAGCTAAATGACAAATTTAACAAGTTAAGCAACAGAATCCTAGGTATTTCATTTAAAGAATCCAAACCTTTGCAGACAAGGATGTATTAGGCAGAGGTGGTGTCTCAGTGTCTCCTAAGTGGATGCAACTGGAAATGAAACTGCATTCTAATGACTAATCATTTTGTTGTAAAGCATTAACATAAGTATCATGGAAATTTTAGGAAGTGGCATTATAGAGCAAAAAGGAACACATTTTCCATGTTTGGTAAAAACAGCATATACAGGATTCTATTCATTGTTTCCCAGTGGGAAAGGAACAGTTTTTTTGGTCACTCCATCTTAAAAGGAAAAAGGGCAAAAATCTAATAATTTGGGGGGAAAGTGTCAGGGATCGAACTCAAGGCCTTGCACTTGCCAGGCAGGCACTATGCCGCTGAGCTATATCCCTGGTGAAAAATTATAATTTTTATAAGTGGCTAGAAAATTATAATTAAAAGTGTTGGCCTTGTGTCCATGTTGACTGCAGAGTAACTAGATTTCTTGTTTCAAAAAGTTGCATAATTAGAAATCCACACCTTATTGGGGACTCAAGAGAACCCTTTTCTCAGGGCTTTATTCTTTACCATGGTAAATTTACTAATGAAAACCTGAGCAAAATGTGGGTCAACCAAATAATGGTATGCTTTAACAGTGGAGGGGGGAGGTTCCACAGCCACCACTGGGCATGGTGTTTGCATAGAAGAGCAGCTGGGGGCCAGGTGACAAGATGTCTTTGCGATGTAGTCCACGAGTCTGTTGTACTGTTGCTCTGACAGTCTCTCTCGGACTCCATCCACCTGCAATCCAAAACATTCATTAGCTGCCAAACCCGTACAATAGACTTACACAGTAAAATTATTCCTTTTATTTTTCTTGATACATTAGAACACGATGCCTCTTAGGTCATCTAATAAAGCCATTTGTCCGAAACAGTGCTTTCATTTTTCCTCTGAGATGAGCAATAATAACACTGATTTTAGCAGTAGAACAAAAGCTCTGCGTGAGACTTAAGACAGCCTCCTTTGAATAAGCATCTGGTGTTGAGTAAAACTCCCATGTTTGAAGTTGACGATTTGATAACATTGTACTTACTATTAAAACATCTGTCACTGCTCTTTACCAAGCAGCCCTGGAACAAAGAATACGAATGTCTTTCCTCTAAATCTAATCACCATTATACTCAGCATTCTGAAATAAAAGCCCTGTTAGGCTTCGCAAACCTTCAGATAAAACCTCTTCAGTTTGACAGAAAATGGGGAAGAGTATCTCGTTCAAACCAGTGGCTCTAGAAAGAGATTAAAAAAATAAATGCCTTTTGGACTGTAACATTTTCTGTTTTTATAAATGCTAGAATTTAAAGCTGGAGAAAACAAAAACTGGGCAGAGGAAGAGGAAATTTTTATGGAAGAAAGGGAGGATGCAAAGTACATTTATGGTTCATAAACATCTGGCTCATCTTCAGGAGAAAGGAGTAGGTGAACTGAGATACACTACCTAAGTTCTTAAGTGAGACTTTCTGAGCGCCCATCAAAGGCAGCTGGAGCTATAAATTATTCTCACCTAGTTGTCTTGTCTAGTGTGTAGATCAGGCAGAGTCTGCAGCACAAGCCACTCATCTGTGAGAAGCAAGTAGCCACTGACCTCATGGTGATTTTTACTTACTGAATGTCAGCAAGACCACTCTGGAAGAAATACAGATGTCTTACTGAGGGCTTCTTAGTTTTCAAAAAAGAGACAATATAAAGAATTTCTTTTATTTCTGAATAGGGCCCAGAAACTGCAGTCAAAAGTGTCAAAAGCTGCAAAAGCCAGTGAGATGGCAGAGATAGAAAAGGGGGTCTGCCAGAGGGTTCAGTCTGGCATCTGTCAGTTCAGATCTCAAATTTTTAAGCTAGAGGGCCGGGGATTTAGCTCAGTGGTGCAGTGCCTGCCTGGCAAGCATGAAGCCCTGGGTTTGATTCCCGGTACCAAAAAAGAAAAGTGAAAAAAAAGCCCCTAAAAAAAAAAAAAATTTTTTTTAAGCTAGAGGAAGAAAATGATGGAGACCCCCAAAGATTTAGGCAGATGAAAGTTGTGCACCACCAGGCAGAAGCCAGAGCTCTGATATCACTTGATGGGGCTGGAATTCAGCTGGAAAGTTCTGAATACACAATGTCTTAATTGCTCCTCCTGAACAGCAGCACAGGAAAAACCGTGTTGTGAAAGGAACCTGGCCAAGGAATAAATTGACCTTCTGACTCATTTTGAGCCTCTCATAAGGGATTTCAATAACGTGCCAGGCATTTTAAGCAATTATTACCCCTAAAAATGGTTGCATTTGACCAAGGAAAGCAAACGCTGATTTAAAAAAATCTGAATCCTGCCATATTTGAATATGCTGAATGATGTCATCTACAAATTAGTTCCTTCCAAGACTCAAAAGAGCTGTTTCCTAGCCTCTCAGGCAAAAGCAATAAATCAGAAAAGCCATTTTCCATAAAGAATTTAACATACTTCTCTTGACTGTCACTGGAAGACAGCACGTAGGCCTAACCAGCTCTCTGTCTGGACTATGTTGGGAGGTACTGACAAGGGCAGGGCAACCTCCATTCCCACAGTGAAGACAATGGATTAGAGTAGGAAGGACTCACAAACAAATGCTCTGTGGCTTGAATTTTCTTTAGAGTGAGTAGGAGATATGGGTCATGGACTCAGGATTAGGCAGCAGTTTTTATGAATTGAGGGGAGAGACAAGGAGACAGAGTGGAGGCACCCTGGACATCCC